TGTTGGACTTACACACATGTAAACAGACAAAAGTATGCCTCAGTTTTAAGAACCTTTGGTTTTTAAATGCTCATCTACAGGATGTATTTTGGTATACTGTTGTCTGTCCGTCAGTTGTCAGCATGTTGGACAATAACTCAAAAAAAGCTTTAACCAATTTGCATGAAACTTTGTTTATATCTATTGACCTGAACTCCCTTTCAATTTTTTTAGATTTTACATTTCTGAGTTATAGGGTTTTATTCATTAAAAAAGTGGAATTTTTCGGTTTTCAGACAATAACGCAATAACACTTTAACCAATTTGCGAGAAACTTTGGTGAATAGTTTATATATGTCATGAAGACATGAGCTCCATTTGAATTATTATAATTTTAGCTTGAAGATTTTGAGTTATGGGATTTTTTACATAAAAAAGGGGTGATTTTCCAGTTTTTAGACAATATCTTTAAAGTGCTTTAACCAGTTTTCATAAACTTTGGTGACTGGTTTATAGCTCTAAAAATAACTTTATTTCAGTTTTTAATAAATAAAAAAATGGCACTTAATTTTTTTTTGCAGGCTTTTCTTGAAACAGTCATTGTATTCAAGATTATGTATATTGGGATGTAATAAACTATTGGATAAATTTATTTGCAACTTCCCTTTTGACATAAGTTCAGTTAATTTTTCACTTTAATTTATGATGACAGAAATAAAATGGGTTAGGGTTTAAATATGACAAATAAGGGTCGTTCCGGTTCAAAATGTCACTTTAAACACAAATTGATAGACATAATATTTTTGTTCTAATGTTAAAATGTGAACGTTATAATGATAATTTACAAAGATATTATTTTGTTGAAAAACATGTACAGTAATGTATTAAATTTTAATATTTTCTGGTTTCATTTTGTAGTTGCAGTCTTCGACATATTTAAAAGTATGTTTAATCATTTTATTTATATAAAAAGACAAGATGAATATTGACAGATATCAAATAAAACGTTTTAATTGATTGATTGTTGGTTGCTTAACGTCAAGTGGCAAATATTTCATGCATATTCAGGACGAGAACAAAAATTAACAATAAATACAATAGGTAGGTTCTGTAATAAGGGCGTCCGGGATTAAGGTCGGAGAAATTTAGACTGCCACAGGAAATGAATGTATATTGGATAGGGACGGGAATTTAGCCTTGCAACAGGTCACCTACGGACCCCTCAAAGAGTTGTTGCAAGGGTTCTTAACGTGCAAAGAGCGTGGCACTCTCTTTACACGAGACATCGGATTTAACGTCCCCATTCTGACCGGACGTGGCTGCAAATTTGTACATCCCGCACAGCCAAACGGACGCCCCACTTTAGCAAGGGTTTTACTGCCGGTCGGAGGAAGACCAATGGTGACCATACTTCTATTCCCCAGTCACCCTTGGGGGGTAAAACGTTTTAAAATGAACGGGAAAAAAAATAAAGTTGAATGTTTGAGTACAGAAACATTTCATTTGTTTGATTTTTATTTTGATATACTAACTTTAGCTAACATAAGTGCATGTTGTTCAAAACTTCTGTTTCCAGGATGGATTTACAAAAAGAGAGGCGTAACAAATACAATAGACGGTGGATGAGTATTTCACGTTCAGTGAATAAAGATTTACATGTAGCTTCAAATAATGCTAATTACACAACAAGTTCTGATGATGACGAGGCCCAAGATTTTAGCCAAAACTAAAGTATGGGAACCTGTGGACTGGGACAAGAATTTATAGAATCTTCCAGTTTTCCTAACATTAACATTACTCAAGATTTATCAGATGAATCTGATACAAGAGTATCAATGAACCAAAATGAAGATGGTATAAATTAAGAATGGAATTGGGATATGATTGATCAACACGCTGAAATAACAGATTCAGAAGATAAAGGTGAAGGTGACGGTTCAACTATTTTAACTGATCTGTCAGAGTGGGCGACTGGAAATCTTATTAAACAAAATGCAACTGACAAGTTGCTCAAGAATTTAATTAAGAATGGACACAAAAATCTTTCTTCCACTACAAGGACTTTGTTACAAACAAAAAGACATATTGACACACAAGTTGTATCAGATATGGAGTACTATAATTTTGGTTTGGAGAAAGGACTAAAAACTAATCTGGAACAGTATCCATGTGAGTTAATTAGCCGGGTTAAAATGCATTGTTTGTGATGCTCCAGCAAAGGCGATGATTAAAGGAGTTAAACTTTACAGTTGTTATTGCGGTTGTGATAGATGTGGACAGAGAGGTGTATGGAAAGGCAGGATAACTTATCCAGAAATAGAAAACTTACCATATAGGACAGACTTATCTTTTCGTAACCAAACTCAGCCAGAACATCACCGTACCAGATCCCCTTTCTGTGATCTTCCAATAGATATGATAAAATCATTTCCTATTGACTACATGCATCAGGCTTGTCTTGGTGTCATGAAAAGATTACTATTAATTTGGATGCGTGGTAAAAAGAAGGAGACCAAAATATCATTCTGGTCATATTGAAGAAATCAGTACACGACTTGTCCAATTGTCTAAATTCATTCCAAAAACATTTGCAAGGAAACCAAGAGGCTTGGATGAAATTGACTATTGGAAGGCCACAGAATACAGGCAGTTCTTACTTTACACTGGTAAGCTTGTGTTAAAAGGTGTTCTAAAGAAAGAGCTATATGAACATTTCTTAAGTTTTTCAGTTGCCATACTATACTCGTAAGTCCAGTTTTAGTTGAAAATTATGTAGAGTATGCAAAGGAATTATTGGTGTATTTCGTATCACAGGCTGAAATTTTATATGGAGAAGAGATACTAGTCTACAATGTTCACAGCATGGTGCATTTGGCTGATGATGCAAAGGAATATGGCTGTTTAGATAACTGTGCAGCATTTTCCTTTGAAAATCATATGCAACACTTAAAAAATGATACTATCTGGAAAAAATCCGCTATCCCAAATTGTTAAAAGAATTAGTGAGCTAGATAATTTACAATCGAAAAAAGTTGAAACATTTGCAACAAGAAACCAAATAATGCTTTTGTTTTGAACAATCACACTTGCTGTGAAGTTGTTGGTGCGAGAAAGGAATCTGAAATAAATGGAGATAAATCAATCTTGTGTCGTGTGTATTTAAGGGGAGAAGCTATTTTTAATATGCCATGTGACTCGAGGATTAATGGAGGATACAAATTCTAGAAACGTTATTCCCAGATGAAAATGCTTGATGTTAGACTGCTTAATCGTCAAGCAATTGTGATCAACAAAGATGTTGATTTGCATGTCACTTTTTTAGCAATTCTGCATGACTTTTAGAGGTAAGTTAAGCCTAACAAAAATTTATAACTTGAATGAGTTGAATCTGATGTAAATGTATTTGAAAAACTAACATTGTTGCACAAACCTTTCTGCATGTAATTTAAGGGAACATAACAATAAGTATACAAAAGAATGGAAGTTAAGGGAATGTGTCAAAGAGACAACAACCAATTGAAAACATATTTTTCCTTAATAGACCTCAATCAACATCATGCAGCATACATGTTCTTTTAATATTTCATTAGAGTTCTTAAGCATATGAAAACCCAGTTGCATTTCATTTGATTGATTTTTCTTTCAGTATCAATTTGTAAAGTGTATGCTTCACATGTAAATCAAATACAAGTAAATGTACATGTACATGTGTGAACTTAAAAAATACATGTGCCATATATGTATCAGTACGCTTCCAAATTTAATTATTCAGGAGTATTTCTAATTGATGATTTAACCAAGTTAAAATTATGTTCTTCATTTCAGATGTTAAAGCAGTATGTAGTAGTAGGTTTTAAGGATTATTCAGTGGCAGTGGCACACAAAAAGTGGCTAAGAGAAACAAAAGAAGGGGTAAGAACTGACATAACACATTATTTAAGCTATGCACCCAAAACCAATTGATGTAAATTTAGGCAATTATAAATCTACTTTGCGAAAGGGACTCACATTTACAAAACATAAAACAAAAACAAAAAACAGTTGCCTGAATTAGGTAGGAACCTATTTTTGATACCAGTAAACAAGTTAACACATGTAGGTGGAAACAAACACATCATTGTCACATGCATAGAATAAAAATATCTAATTTATCGATAAATAAAAAAATTGTTGAAAAACACCCAATAGAATTATTTGTGTATGGCCAATTTTTTAAGGGAGCAAACAGCAAACACACATTTTTATTTCACGCCGAAATTTTTCTATATACATTTACATATAACTCTTTAGAAGTATTAAATGTTAAGATTTTATTATCATTGTTTATATATTTTTTTAAAGGAACCTGCATGTTGGTGGCTCTTTAACAACCAGAGTGCCAGAGCAAGAAAAGGGGAAGTACCTGACGAGGAAAGGTGGATGATTTATTCTGTCTGTATATTTGCATCTACAGGTAAAGAAATGTTATCTTATTAACAACAATGGTTAGACTATAAGAGCTGAACCCCTTTATTTTGAGCTTACAAGCAGTCATTCCGAAGGTCGTCAGACAATGGGCAAAGTCCAGTAAAAATTTGTTTAGTCCAGTTAAGTGATATGAATTACTGGACCAAATGACCAGTAAATTTTTTAACTTTATCCTAATCATATGTGTAAATGTCCTGTTAAAAAGAGTCTGGTCCAGATAAGAAGAATGTTTTACCGGACCAAATGTCCAGTTGATTTCTCAAAGCCTTGGGAACCACTGTACATGCTAAATGAAATTGTTGAATAATGTAAATTTATGAAAGCTATTGTGATGTCAGAACCGTGCTTCTTAAAAGTAGTTTTAGGTGCCGTAGATTTTATATTGGACTTTAAAAATGTAAACGTAATGATTGTTTTGAAAATTAAATAACATATCGTTAGCCAAAACAGAAAACTGATTGTGCTTTACATTTTATAACACACGTAACTTTACATTGTATACAAGTTTGTTTTATGTATTTAAAAATTATAACAAAAATTTGAATTTGCAGATTCATTTGAAATGGCTGTAATGAAGTCAAAGTTAGCTTTAGACACATCCAATGTAGAGAGTGAGGATCAGGGGGAAACCCAGACAAATAGCCCTGTCAATATCCAGCCAGTACAGACAAATAGCCCTGTCAATGTCCAGCCAGTCCAGACAAAATCTAGGACAATTAAAAGGCCTCAAAAATATGACAGTATTCCAGATGGTAATACATGTATATATATATTTGTTAAGTATTGTAAATTCAGAAATTATTGCGCGCATTTATTATTGCGATTTTGTCATTTTAGACTCAAATGCGATTTTAAGTTTTGCGATAATGAGAAAAATCCTGTTTAATTCACATACAAAATTTTGAAATGTGAGTTTCAATTATTGCTAATATTACCCTGTCGCATTTTTCGCAATTATAAAAACATCGCAATAATTTCTGAGTTTACAGTATTTGATATTATTCATTTGGTTGATGTTTTGTAGGCAATTTTAGTCTTCAGTTAACTTCATTTTACTATGTAAAAGCCTTTTAAAAATTTGGCACCCAAGTAAAAAAGTTGATGCAGTTGACCTCCTGAAGAAGATCTGTTGAAATATATTGATCAATCTAGATTGCAAAAGAGAGACAACTAGTTTTGAAACAATGTTTTTTTTGCTCTAAAGTTCACTTTTGAAAAATCATGTATAGATTCTTTTGATTGTTAGTAGACATTCTTTTATGACCTTAGGTCTAGTTTGGTAGATTAAATATAGTGAACCTGTTGATTGAAAAGAAAATGTATATAACTTTATTTTCAAGTCATTTCTATTGTATATAATTTTTTTTCAGAAGACTCGGATCATGAAGATGAACCACCATGTTCATCCAAAAAAATTTTCAAAACTGCCAGTGCCGCCAATGTTATCACCATTAAACAGAAGTTTGACAGGAGAAAATACCAGGCCATCAACAATGAGATTCTGTACAAGCAGTTCATTCGCAGCCCTATCACCAGAAATAACTAGACTGTTGACGCTATCACCAGCAGTAGATTGATTGATTGTTGGTTGCTTAACGTCCAGTGGCAAATATTTCATGCATATTCAGGACGAGAACAAATTAACAATAAACACAATAGGTAGGTTCTGTAATAGGGGCTTCCGGGATTAAGGTCGGAGAAATTTAGACTGCCACAGGAAATGAGGATATATTGGATAGGGACAGAAATTTAGCCTTGCATCAGGTCACCTACGGACCCCTCAAAGAGTTGTTGCAAGGGTTCTTAACGTGCAAAGAGCGTGGCACTCTCTTTACACGAGGCATCGGATTTAACGTCCCCATTCTGACCGGACGTGATTGCGAATTTGTACATCCCGCACAGCCAAACGGACGCCCCACTTTAGCGAGGGTTTTACCGCCGGTCGGAGGAAGACCAATGGTGACCATATTTCTATTCCCCAGTCACCCTTGGGGGCCACCAGCAGTAGATTGGTCATCACTTCATACAAGTAAGTTAGTAACAACATGATAGTGAGGCTTTCCTGTATCATTTAATTGCCATAAAAACTCATTTGTGCATCTTGAATAGATATCAGTGGTAGATCCAAAAGGGGGGGGGGGGGAGGTCAGGGGTTGAAACGCCCCCTTTTTATGAACAATGCATTTGAATTCGGACATATAGTAAGAACAACACCTCCACCCGTTATCCTGGGTTGGGACCCCTTTTTAAAAAATGGCTCGATCTGCCCCTGTATATATATATTTGAACTTTTCTTGATCAAAGAATGGCCATCGCTTATCATTATCCACAATACGTATTCATTGGAGAAGACTTTGAAATAAAGAGAAGAACAGAAGTGGGAAGACATATTTTACTTTTAATATAATCTTTCATCAGTGAAAACCTAACTTGAATTGCTGTTCAAATGTGATAATATTGTTCCACCATTTAATCCTTAATTTAATTATAAATTGATCCTGGTAAACTTATCGCTCCTTTAAATAAACTTTTTCTAAAAGGTTACCAATTCAACACTGTAATAAGATCATTGAATATTGTTTTTATTGGTATAAATATTGATTTTGTTATCAGTAAATTAAAAGCAAACTAAATATAACTAGTATGTTATATACATATACACGTTCATGGATCTACAATCTGTCGATACCTGTATCTTGGCATTGCACAAGGTCATGTTTTTCTCTGACTGTTTATGACGTCTTTACACTAAATCCATTGGATGTTGGATGTGTACGGATTGATAATTTAGTCTTAGATGCATGGTTTTTTTTTATTAGTTGTTAGTGGCTTTGAACTAGCTGTCAGTTAACTGCGAGTACTCTCAGGTCTGTTCCTAGTGTCTTTTTGTTGTTGGGATGTACAAGTACCCGGCCACGTCCACTTGTATTTTGACCATCTGATGAGTAAAGCCTTTTTCAACTGATTTTTATAGTTCGTTCTTATGTTGTACTGATATACCACTGTCCTAGGTTAGGGGGAGGGTTGGGATCTCGCTCACATGTTTAACCCCACCACATTATGTATGTATGTGCCTGTCCCAAGTCAGGAGACTGTAATTCAGTGGTTGTCGTTTGTATATGTGTTACATATTTGTTTTTCGTTCATTTTTTAGCTCACCGGGCCCGAAGGTCCCCATGGGTGTTTATGCCATCACTTGGCGTCCGTCGTCGTCAGCGTCGTCTGCGTCGTAAACTATTTCAAAAATCTTCTCCTCTGAAATACTGAGCCAAATACCTTCAAACTTTATCTAAATGTTCCTTAGGGTATCTAGTTTACAAATTGTATCCGAAGTTTTGATCCATCGACAATCATGGCAACCATGGCTATAAATAGAACATAGGGGTCAAATGCAGTTTTTGACTTATATCTCGCACACAAAGCTTTTAGAGCAAATCTGACATGGGGTAAAATTGTTCAATTGGTCAAGATCTATCAGCTCTGAAATTTTCAGATGAATCAAACAACCCATTGTTGGGTTGCTGCCACCGAATTTGTAGTTTTAACAAAATTTTGCAGTTTTTTGTTATTATTTTGAATATTATTATAGATATATATAAACTGTAAACATTTTCATTGTATTTAATTTGTCTTCTCTTTGCAGTTCTAGTATATGTTTTTTTGTTCTTTATCTGCTGCTTCAGAATTTGGGCATCTCTTTGTCAGCACTTTTTTTAAGTGTATCTCTTTGCTTTTAAGATCTTTGCTTCCGCTTCCCAGGGAATTATTTGTACATTTGAAAAATCGTTTTCGGCAGCAGCAGCGGCTTGGGTTAGGTGGATTTCTTCTTCAACTACTAGAGCAATTTGAGATAATTCAATGTCCTCGGTGGCATCAATGAGGTCTTGCTCGGTTCCAACAATATCCATAAAATCTACGTCTTCAATTATCACGGCCATTCTAAACGACATGTAAGCACTGAATGAACCGGCTGATTTTCGAAAAATTGCCTGGATCGATTTTCTCGCGGTACGTCTAAACACCGCTCAAGACCTCCTGTGTGCACTCAGGATATGAAATTTATCTTTTAGTGAGTGGTGAAGGTATGCATTCGATAGATAATTAAATTCCTCATCTTATAGTTTTGGTTTTGATAAAATCAATTCAATATTTAAGAAGTTACTGAAGTTTTCTCAGCACGCGCCGTTTTTATGAAATATGTCAGGCATGACCGATGATTATATTGAATAATAATTATCATGTTGATTAGGTCGTTTGATCCTTAATAATTAGGAGTGATTAGTGATGGTACTAACCTCATACAAGTAAGCTTGGCTAACAAACAAAACCAAGATGTCTTTTGAAAAATAAAGAACAATGAAGATGTATTGTTTTAGAAAAAAATGTTAAATGTACTTTTTGTTTTGTATGTAATAATTGAAGCCAGTTGAGAAATATGAGAAATCTACATATAGTTGGGAAATTTTCATTCAATTCATTTCATTTGAAAACGTTCAAATATATAGATATAATGTTTTTCTCATTAAAGTCGTTCTTGTCCAGTAATACAAGCCTGGAACGAATTTCGATGTAAAAATTTATTATGGAAAATGAATTTTTCTCCGTTTTCTGAAAATTATATTTAAATGGCGTTCAAGTTCCTAATTCTCACTGCAATACCACGTAATTGCAAAGATGGAGATGATCTTGTATCTGTAATGTGGACACTATCATCGCTTCATGATCCATCAAAATTGTTTATTTCAAACCATTTTACACCTTTGATCAAAGACATAATTGCGTCGCCGGTCAAACCACGACTTGGTCTTCGTGCACAGATTTTGAAGTACCAAAACCCCAGAAACTTGCTCGTAAGCCAAACCAAAGGAAAAGACCAAGGACAGCACGTACGCAGCTAAGATATTAGACTTAGCAAATCATATTAATAAATACTGATCTATCTTGTTAAGGTTAAATTCTAAATATTGTCATTGTAAATATTGTACATAATTATCTTCTCTTTACCTATGTACATGTATATGGTTTATTGAGTATAAAGTTATACAAATTCAATAAAATTTGATATTCCGTAAACATTGTTTTTTTATTGAGTTGATTTGGAGAGAGAGAAAAAAAAAACACAAAGAAAAACAAAAATCGAACTTGTTACAGAAAAAAGGCAACTATAAAATAATATGATTTTTTATTTTCTTTATTCATGAAATGCAGAACACAACAAAATTGATTTAGCCGTTATCATGAAAAATAAACTGAAAAGGTACATCGAATGGGTTATTTTATTTACTCCATCAACGTAAAATTCACTATGCATAATTTAAATTTAACTACATTAAACAATCCCGGAAAACTTAAAACATTGTCATATTCATTTCAAACGTAACACTGTACTAACACCACAATTCATAAAGAACAATAAAGATATTCCATTCAATTTTGTTGATTGGATAATACCCGGCTCAGTAGTTGTGTGATTGGTGACACGTGCCCTCATTATTTTATAAGAATTAAGATATCTATCCAAGTTCGATTTCAAATTTTACCAAAATTTAACTCTTAAAATAAGCAGAGTGTAACGAATATATGCATCCATCCTGTGTGCAAATACGATGACTATAAAGGGTCTTGAGTTCACCCTGTGGGTCCTGAGCAGTGTTTAGACGTACCCATTTTCTGGTACGCGTGCTAAGCAGCGGGCTAGAACGACACTCCAACTGGTTTTGTATTGGATTGATTGATTGTTGGTTGCTTAACGTCCAGTGGCAAATATTTCATGCATATTCAGGACGAGAACAAATTAACAGTAAATACAATAGGTAGGTCCTGTAATGTAGGCCGTCCGGGAAGAAGGTCGGGGAAATTTAGACTGCCACTGGAAAATGAGGGTAAATTGGATAGGGACAGCAATTTTGGCTTCCAACAGGTCACCTACGGACCCCTCAAAGAGTTGTTGCAAGGGTTCTTAACGTGCTGAAACCGTGGCACTCTCTCTACACGAGGCATCGGATTTAACGTCCCCATTCTGACCGGACGTGGTTGCGTACTTGTACATCCCACTTTGGCAAGGGTTCTACTGCCGGTCGGAAGAAGACCTGTGATGACCATATGTCTATTCCCCAGTCACCCTTGGGGATTGGATAAAAAAAACACCAGGCCACTGTTGAATGATGTTACAAAACATATACACCAGGCCTTACTCATTAACATATTTAAACGAACTCATCCTGCGGATTCGTCGTTTAAATATGTTAACTCGTAAATAGCGTGGTACTAATTAACAACTTGAGATACAACGACAAAATTATTTACAACAACGATTTTACCTGTACTTAGTTTAATTGTGTGATAATGTTCCAGACGGGCGAGGCACGGTATAGAAAGAAGAAAACAGTAATACCATCTACGAGAAGAGGACAAGCTTATCATAACTTTCGTGATTAATATTAATCTTGTGTTAGTTAACTGGATGGTGATATTTCTTATATAACCTAATCAAAGTTTAAGAGAGTAAATATAATTATCGTAAATGTGTTGTTTTAAAGACATACA